TTTTTCATTTAACTATTCTTAAGATTTAAACTTCAAATTTAATATTTAAAACAACATTTACTTACTAATACAATCCACTCTTTAGCAAGTCTATTATTGGTAGCTATTTGTACTATTTCTTCTTTGAATAGCCATATAGTGACCCCTCTATCAATTAATTCATTTGTTCCCATCTAGTCCCTAATTACTATCAAAAGAAAAAAATGAATTCATTTGTTCATTTGTATAAGAAGAGAGAAGAAATTGAACGGAATCATGAAATGAAGGTGAGAGCAAGTTGCAGAGAAGGTGGGGTGACTTTTATTGCCACTAGAGCCAAAGTTTGTTTCAATCTATATGGCCAGAAACGGAACCAATGTAGGACAAGGGGGAGCAGCGGCCTCCCTGAGCTTTTGAAAAATTTTAAATATGTTACATTAATTTTTATTTTCTACAAAATCTTGGTTTTTGAGTTTTTGAATTATTAGAACCATTTTAGATATAAAGAAAATATTCCGTCTTTTAGTAAAGGAATCGTTTCTCTCTTTCGTAATAATTTTTAAGATATAATAATTTGGTCTAAGTAAGAAAAAAAATTAAAAAATAGTTAAGATCCAGTTAATTACATTAACATAACTTATATATGTTTTTACATTTTTAATTATATATAATTTTTTCGCACAATTTATATTCTATAAAAATAATGATTGAATTTACTTTATTCATATAAATAATGCATTTCAAATTTAAGGTTATTCCAACATATGTAACCATTCAAAAAAATAAACTATATTTTTATACTATTTATTTAAGGGTTTTAAAGTTTATATCATTCTAAAACAACTAAATATATCTAATTTTATTGATAAAGCTAAATATATCTAATTAATTTAAAGTTTTACATGTACAACTTGAATAGTACATACACAAAATTAGCTTCCAATATAAAGACTAATATAAATTATACTAATGTAAACTAATAAATAACTCAAAAAAAAACTTTAACTTTTTGCCTTCTAACTTGAAGTTTTGGCTCCATCCTTGTTTGGCTCCATCCTTGCATATGACAAAGTTCTTTTCTACATCGAGAAAAGTCTATAAATGAAAATCAATTCATATTAGAAAACGCAAGAAACTTTTACTATCTTTTTCCATTAGCACGAATTATCAACCCGTTTTGCTTTAATTAGGTTGTGGAGGTTCTTACTTGAGAATTCAATCATGTATCAAGCTAAAACAATGAAGAAGATTAGTTGTTTACGGAATTAATGGTTGTGGGGAAGATTTGTTGTGGACAAGGAATATAACATGTCTTAACATTAAGGTTGGGATTGTGAAAGATCTATACCATGAGTGATACTATTGGTATGAGCTGTCTATATTTTTGTCTTTTTATTTGGTTCATTTGTTATGTCAACGTTGGATCAATTGATTTTGACTTTTGTTTAGACATTTCTGTTATATGGTAACCAAAGGGATATTTGATGACTCTTCTTAGTTGGTCCACAATCATAGGCCATAACCATATATACAGTTCAAGAAATAAAAAATTAATGAAGGAGGGTAAACATTCTTTTTTAGACAGTCAAGGTATCTGAGTTTAAGCACATTGAAATTAATATCCTAAGCATTTTAAAGTGCACCCTAATATTGATTTGATGCATTAAATTTTATTGAATGTTAATTTTAATATTTAAATCTAATTTTTAACTTTATTTTTTTATTGGAAGACAGTTTTGGGGTTTTTTTTTTAAAAAATATTTTTGTTCATAATCAAAATTTATAAGAAAAATAGAAAAAAGGAGAATTTCACCTACAGTACTGAATATCCATTTCTCACAGGATCCTTACGAAACAAATTTCTAAATCTTTAAACCGGAAGCTGGCAGACAATAACAGGCCTGGACCCAGCATCTCCCTGATTCTCTGTAGAATTTTGGGGTCATTATTGGGCCGCTCGTTAAGCACAAAGATATTGAGCCAGAAAAAAGGGAAAAAAAAAAAAAAAACTTTTTGCACCTGCTCTGAACTCATTGCGAAATATTTTGGTAAAATCCTCAATTTGGTCCTTAAATTATTATACAAATATTTGATTTGGTCCCTAAACTATTGTATGGATCTCTAATTTAATTCTATTATTTATTAATTTATCTTAAGTTGGTCATTTCGCACAAAAAATAACTGACATGTCTCATTATTAGCGTGACATGTGACTGTTAAGTTATTATTTTTGTTAAAACCCTTTTTTGGTCCCTGAACTA